GTGCAAAATTGCCACGCACTACCGGTCTTTTTCCTGTCTCTTATACACATCTAGATGTGTATAAGAGACAGCCCCTATCCCTACCATCCTACCTCAGTATTACTACTCAGGACTATCACCATGGTATTTCAGAGGGTGACTTGGACCAGACAGTAGTTCTAGGCACCGGGGCTGGGCTGGACCAAGCGCGAAGCCTTGAGCTCCTCCCAGCCCCAGTTGAGGCACAGTCAAGCAAGCCACGTTACTCGGGTACATCGGGCGCCAGGCTCTAGTATTATGTCTGCTTCTCCTACCAACCCCCATTCTGGCATGTGTAAAGCCATTTTGTATGTGTTCAGGGATGCAAGATTTTCCCAAGAGATTGTGAGCTTATGGGAAACTGCTGATGATGATGCCATTAGAAAAACGTGCAGGCCTGATGTGGCTGAACGTGCTTGGAGCGGTTCCTTCTTCGGACTGGGTTTTCACTCGGGCATGGTGTGATACTCCTTTTTGCGAGAGATGTGGAAAAGGTTGTGTGGTGGACACTGAGGTAGGACTGGGGAAGTGGGGTTGTGCCGGGGAGAATGGATGAGAGGAGGTGGGTGGGGTCTCATAAAGGGTATGCTCCTTGAAAAACACAAAAAAAGGGATTGATTGCCCTTTGCAAAAAAAAAAAAGTCCGGCAGAAAATCCGTCAAAATTGGAACGCCACAGAGAAGATTAGCATGATCCCTGCGCCAGGAGCGCTGCGCCCCCCCCGCGCAATCAAGCCGAGCGGCACCGGGCGGTAACAGCGGTGGAGTGGCGCGGAGTCATGCGGCGCCGAGATGCGACAAGTGGTGGAGCGGCGCGATGACGGGTGAGAGGGTTTTTGGGTGGTGTGAGATGGAGGAAGAGGTGATAGGAGCGGTGCATCGCGCATACAGGGTGGGGTCGCTATGAAGAGGTGGAGTAAAGGGCCGCGAGGGGTATGGTTTGCCGGCATAATCAGCATTGAAAAGCGAAGGTGAGGGTGACGGATCGTGAAGAGTGTGGGTTGGACAGGTAGAGTGTGTTCACGATGGTATTTTCTCCATGGATCTTCTTATTGATTGGTGGGTGTAGGGGATTTGCTTGGTGCCGCGATCTGCCTGCGTCACAGGCTGGCGGGGTTGAGATCGGGGAGGGGCTGTTGCTCCAGGTGATTGGCGAGCGGCTCCGATGAGGTCTCCCTGTGCTACGTGTTAGATGCCTCGTGCACCCCGTTTTGATGGGCGAGGATGTCGAGGAGTGCGAGGGCGATGGTTCCCGCGAGGTAGGGGCGACGTCACACGCGAGTGAAGGGGGAGAGGCGGGGAGGGGAGGAGAGGATTCATGGAGGTGCCTGTTCTTCGGTTTTTTAATATGATACACTCACCTTCGGCTTTTTTTGAGATTGATCTTTTAATCCCATTAATCAAAATAAGATACATAACCCCCCAAAAAAGAAGTCTCTGATGATCTCAGTTTGTTTGATGGTGGTTTTGTCTGATAATAGGGTTGCTTGAAAGTTTTCTCCTAAACTTTTTCGGGTCATACAACTTTGCCTCAGTTTTTTTGATGGTGGTTTGAAAGCGATTTCTTAAACTTTGTGTCATACAACTTTGCTGAAGATGTTTTCTCAAATCGTGCTTTAAGAAGCTGATTCGAAAATCCGTGATGGATATCTAAACCTAAATCTGGTATAATTTCTTGTTTTCTCGTTACTTTGTAGCTTCTTTTATCATTGATCTGATGATCTTGATTTTTTCTCGAATCTGTTCTGATTGCCGATGCCTATAGGCTTCGGCATCGTTTTTTGGATTTTTGAATTTCGCCACAGCAATTTTCTAAATGGCTCATGCCAGACCTTTTTCTTCTTGGCTCGCCTCTCAAGGAGGACTGTAGGAATAGGTGTTACCTGGCAATTCATCCTTGATTCTAYGTAGGGTGGTTGAAAATTCGGCGGCCCTCGATAACCGATGCTGGAGCAACGCTGGCCGGAGCCGGAGCCAGGTGGCGCATCTCTGTAACCTAGCCTGATGGGGGCGAGAGGCCTGGTCGAGAACTGGGAGGCTGTTTGCAGGGGCAGTCTCAGTGGTTATTGGGGTCGTGACTGAAGCAATGTGGGCCGGTGCTGGAGTAAGGTGGCGCAACTCTGTAACCCAGAGGGAGCATGAGGCCTGGTAGAGCTTTGGTTCATGCTGGAAACATCCATGCTGGTAGCAGTCAAAGGTGGAGTGAGTAGGTTTTACCTATCTGTTTTGAGTTTGCGAGGCTTGTCGACATGCATTGCTCTGAATATTTCTGAGTTTTTTTCTGGTTAATTCAATTAGGCTTGCCTCTTGAGGAGGATTGTAGGAATAGGCGTTATCTGGCAATTCATCCTTGATCCTGCATAGGGTGGTTGAAAATTCGGTGGCCCTCGAAAACCGACGCTGGAGCAACGCTGGCCGGAGCGGGAGCCAGGTGGCGCAACTCTGTGACCTAGCCAAAAGGGGGCGTGAGGCCTGGTAGAGAGATCTGGGGGGCTGTTTGCGGGGGCAGTCCTTGTGGTCATCGGGGGTCGTAACTGAAGCGATGTGGGCCGGTGCTGGAGCAAGGTGGCGCAACTCTGTAACCCAGAGGGAGCATGAGGCCTGGAAGAGCTTGGGTTCGTGCTGGAAACAGCCATGCTGGTGGCGGTCGATGTGGATTGAATAGGTTTCGCGTATCTGTTTAGTGGTTAGGAGGCTTGTCGGCATACATTTTTTGAATGTTCTTGAGCTTTTCCCTTTTCAAAAGAAGAGTCCTTCTGGGGGAATGCCCACACCATCAAAGAGACGGATTTCGCAGTGTATGTCATCCACAGTCAACTGAAGAAACACAGCTCATCACAATAGGAAAAACAACAAGTGATAAATTCAGTATTAATTGAATCAACAAAAGAAGCACAGAACCGGGGAAGAACAAAGATATAGGGAGTCTCCGGGAAATAGTCACATCATCACATCAAAGGAATTTGCAGCTCACATCATCATCCGTCAATCGAGGTGCCCACACCATCAAAGCGACGGAATTAGCAGTGTATATCATCCATAGTCAAACGAGGAACCACAGCCCACATTACCCTACGACAACCACACTCCCACCACCACGTCATATACGT